AGCATGCACATCTTAGTGGTTATATTGAAAGTTTTCAGTCAAAATGAGCCTGCTGACTTAAATAGAAATAATAATAATTCCTCATCTAAAACATTCCAACATAAAGACATCTTTAGTTAAAGTTTTGGAAAATATATTTACTATATTACTTCTCTTAAGTGAGTAAAATGTCACCCAGATGAAATAAAAACCTCATTTTGACATTTTCTACCAAAATGGGTGCCAGCATCAAGAAAGTCTGGTAATTCAGCAGCCGTATAAAGTTCCAGAATATAATTAACTAGTTTTGAGTCACTTGTAAACTAACAGTAGTTATTTTGTGTCCCAACATGTCACACTGGTTGCATTTGGTACAATATACAACAAAGGATAGACTATAGAATTCAGATCATTTTACAAAAAACACTCTTGATCAAGAATTTGTAAATACTGACCAATTTTAAAGGGCAGAAAGAAAAACAATTTTTAAAATTCTCTTTATTCTTTGCCAACAAAGATTTATGATTATTAAAAAAAACAGCAACAGTTGAGATAAGAAAATTTTAAAAGAATGTAATTTTCATGTTTTATATTTTGACATTTTAAGAAAAGGATTTTATACATGTTTTTTTATGAAAAAAATTAGAATTTAGTCAGTAATTAACTCAAAGAGAAACTCTTAACTATTTTTGTATCAAAAAAATTTCAAGGAAAAATTAAATGGTAGAATATCTAAGGATATGATCTGGTATTTATTTATATTACTTGTGATATTAAATATGACATTAATTTAAAAAAAATACTTTCATTTATATCTCATATATATATATATATATATATATATATATATATATATATATATATATATATATGTGCGTGTGAGTGTGTGTGCGTGCGTGTTTGTGTATGTAAGTGACACAGCAAATTTTGAACAAGGAGCTGAAGATGAAACAACCATGGCTATATTTCAGCTCCAGAATCCAACATTTAACAGCTGAAAAACTTTACTTTCTGACAAAAATGTTTTATAAGCTGAAATATTTATCTGAATCCCCCAAATATTTTTCCTTTAAAAAAATTTCCTTTTAGTGAAAAAAAAGGAGTTAACTTTATTTGCATGAAGTTAACCACATAATTTATTTTCCATTTAATTCACAGCTTCAAAAACTTTATCTTCATATAGCATTCATAATATGGAGATGTTGTAGTTTTGTGTTTATTTTATTAAATTATTTATTAATTATCGCAAGAAAAGGATCATCCATGGTATGACTAGCTGATTGTGATGATGATCATCATCACACACAATTACATACATATCTACACAAATTCAAATTTCAATAACAATCATTCATTGAATAGAAATCAATGCTGCTGCTATCTCATGCGACAATTTTGAAATTGCTATATTTTTGTATAATAGATTTTGTGCACTTTTGGGAGAATCGGATCCCAAGAGCATTCTTAGCTTTTTAAATATTTTTCAGGAAATATCAGCTTCTAATTAGTCAATAAACACACAAGTGGGTGTTGCAATCCAGCCACACACAATATATTTTCCCAGCGCGTGACTAAGTCAAATTTCCCGCCAAAGTACTCTGATCCTGTCACGTGATTACATTATCTATAAAAACAAACACGAGTTTGCCTCTCTCTCTCTTTCTTCTGTATTCTTGCTGCAAAATGTAGTCCCAGAGAATTATCGTCTTGACCTTGCGGTCAGACCTTAAAGAACATCACCAACATACATGTATGTACGAACATTCACCAAACTACGAACCTACACACACACACACACATACACACACACAAAGACAATGTTAATGTGCTTTGTAAATGTTTTGTTTAATACATATATTTGTTTATATATATTGATCTTGTTTGTTGGTCCTTTCTTTACATCAGTTTGGTTTCCTAAACAAAATTAAATAAATGTGGTGGAAGTCTGCCACAAGATCTCCCATGATGGAGGATCTGCTAGTCATCCCAAGATAGGAGATCTGCTAATAATCCCAAGGTGGGAGATCTGCTTCTTCTGGCATGACATTACCATCATAATTAAACTCTCTGTTAGCAGAAAATTATTGATCAAAATAAAATCAACTTTGGGCTTGTTTTCTGCAATTAGCTTATCAAAATTGTTTTAATAAGCTTCATAATAAATTTTTTTATGCAGTTCTTCCTGAGAGAGAGAAAAATGGAAATCCAAATATTTTTTAAAGAGTTAAAAAAAATAATAAAAATAAATAAATGGGGCTACCAAACCCAAGAATGGACTCTTGGTAAAAAGACAAAGTGAAGAAAAAGTGTTCTTGAATTCAATATGAGGAATTTGAATGATGAAGTGATGGAAAGGAAAAGAATTCTCAGCTCTTATCATAATCTTTGTTGGCTGTGAAGTTTTCTCAACATCATTATCAACCCAGACATCGTGTCCTAAATATTTTCAAGCTTTCTATAAATAGATACTAACAGATATAAGCTACCATGTTAAGCTTATCAAATGGGCTGAAATTCAATAAGGAGCAAAAGTCTATTCCCTTTGGGTTTATTTTACAATAAAAAAAAAAGTCACATTAGGAGATACTTTCATGAGGAAAAAAAATTGAAATATGTCAAATTTGTGTATTGAAAACAAATAGTTAAATATGAAAATATTTACGTGAACTTCTTAAAATAAAGATGAAAGTCAATCTTCATTTACTGTGTGGGTGTTGATATTTTTCAACAGATGGCTGAAGAGATTTCCATATAATTTCAAAACAGAAAGAGCATGAAGGGTTATTTAAAGACATGATTTAGGGCAGGATGAGAAATTATTTTTATCAGAAAAACTTGCTTACAAAGCCATGAATATAATAAGAGGTAAAAAAATGATAATGTAGCATGAAATATTCTGCTTAAGGAAGACTGGGAAATATTTTTGGAGCAAATGAAATCAAGATACAAGAAAAAGAGAAAAAGAAAGTGACAATAATAATAATAATAATATAGTCAATGATAAAGAACTTTTCTCCACTAGTTCTTTAAAACTTTTTATATGTAGTAAGTTTGAAAAACTCATAAAAACAACCATAAAATGCAAGAATTTTTAGTACAGCCTTGAAAATTAAATATATTTGTGATTTATTAAACTGACTACAGAAGTAATGATCTGTAAGCTGAGGTTGTTCACCATTGGTCCATAATTAAGTATCCTTATTGATATTTACTAAGCTCATTTTATTATGGTGCAAAGCTAGAGTGATAGGGCATCCAGTGAGAATTATCCTCACTACAGTAGCAATGATCTGCAAAACTAGCTTTTTAATATGACAAGGTTCTTTATTAAATAAATTACATTAATATATTCCTTTCACCACAAAATAATAATGGTAAATAATAAAATTGTTTTTAACAGACTGTACATTGCAAGGAAAGCAAGAAAAGTGTTATCTGTTTAAAAACATGAAATGTATAAAATAAGAGAATTGTAAATTCAATAATTTATACCGCATCATTCATTATCTTTTTATCTATCAGATTCTTGGAATTTGTGGATTAATAAATAATTATTTTTATTGTTGCTTTTATTGTGTTTATATCAAGAACCAATGAGTAGTATTTTCTTTCTGGGTAAGAAATAAAAATTGTAAATAGCTTTAATTTTGTCTCATTATGTAGATTACATGTTAGATTATGAAAAGTTAGTTCTTATAAAGAAAAAAAAAAGAAAAATTTCAAAATTTCATTTCTTTGCAATATTTTTGATGTGTTTGGCTGAAAAAGCAAAAAAAAAAAAAAAAAAAATAGAATTGCAGTTAAAGTGAATCACTCCCATTTTTACTGTTCAGAACAAATTTTGTTGGTCAGTTTCTTGTATAATTCGTTAATAAAGATTCATTGTAGCAATAAACCACTCAGTCATTTAATGAAATATTCTTTTACTGAATAATAGTCAAGATTTTCATTAAAAAGTTTTATCAAAGATTAAACAAAAATACACCAATTGAAAGACATTTTAATGTACATTTATCTTTATAAATCTTATTATCAATAAATATATAAGATTCCCCACAAATATATAATGCACTTAAAATATAGGAAGGAATTGTGTTTACAGTCTAGCATTTTATATTATTAAAAAATAAAATACATATACTGTAGAATAATAATAAACTTTCATTTAAAAGCCACTTTTGCTAGTCTCCATCTATTTATAGAATTCATATTATAATTATTTGAAAATGCAAATTATCACTCAGCATAATTATTATCATCAACTGTTATTAGTTTATTGCCACCATGGCTGATGGAGAGTGCAGGTTGGTCAAAAATTCTTCTCTATTTATTCCTCTTGTTATTAAGAAAAAAAGGGAAATGATTACTTGGAATTAAAAGACGTGAACTTTTGGACTTATCTCCCTTAGCCTTTACGTACTAGTGCGGAGTGTCAATTTACGCTTAACTGAAAATTAATTAGAATTTAGTGGCCCAAATAAACTGGAAATTGCTTAATTTTTCAAGTTAGTGCATTTTTAATGGTATTGCAATAACAAATGTGCAATGATGTGCCGTTTTTGCTGTTTTACAGTAACAAACCAATAAAAATGGGATCATTATGATAATAATAAATCTCTGCCCAGACATTTTGTGACATTAATTTATCCTAAAAGGCTGCACTAACAAGAGAGAGAAGGAATGGAGTTAAAGGAGAAGAGAAATGTTTTCTATGTAGAATTAAAGGCTTTACTTTTTTTTAAATATTAAAAAAATTAATAATAATAAATTGAGAGAAATAAATTGATTTTGATACATATAAAATTTTTCCTGAAATGATTAAAGACAAAATTTGAAAGTTTTATAACATTTTGTGTTATTGTGAATCCTATCTAATCAAAATATAAGGAATTTTAAGAATTTACCCCAAAATTAAGAGAAAATATTCTTGGCTTTGGATTTTTAAGAGCATAAAAATCACTTTATATCAGATTTGAGTTTCTTGTAAAAAAAAAAAAAAAATGTCAAAACCAAAAACTCACCCTTGAACCTTTCTCCCCAATGCATCTGCAATTTCCGCTTGCACAAATTTGACCACATTCTGAATTTTGCTGGAAAAAAAAATTAAAAAATGTTAAATAGTGATTTTTTTTTTTATATATAAAAAAAAAAATTGAAGTTAAAAATTAAATAATATTCATACTTGGAAATTGGTCACACATACACACAAAAAAAGATGGTTTATAGTAAACAAAACATGGGTAAAATATTCAGATAAAAAAGACAATCAAGAATAGAAGGATTTTGTTTGCAGGGGAAACACTGTTTAAAATGGGTTTTACTATTTTATTGGAATAAATCTGTGATTCAATAGATATTTTAATTTTATTAATTTTAAAAACAAAAAAATACTTAAATGATTTTGAAGTTTTTTAACATATAGTTTTAATAAATGAAGACTTTATTTGAAAAGTTTTAATTAGATTTTTAAGTATTTCATTGGGAAGAAAATTAAACAGCAATAAATTTTTTACTTTTCAAGAAGAAGTTGGCTCCCTTGGATCGTACTAAGCCATAGAGATCTTAAACCTTTAATGAAATTTTCAAAATGTTACTGACGTTTCTCATCCTATCTTGTTCTTTTTACCTTTAAATTATTTGAAAGTACAAGAAAACCGAAATTTTAATGAAGATTTTTTTTTTAAATTCACGTCAGACGAAACAAATTTGACAACCATTCAAAAATCTCAAAAGTCTTTGGTTTGGTAGATTTGTTTTTCCCCGGCAGTTACCATAATTTTGACTTCTTTTATTGCAGTTATTAATTACAGAAGTCAAAATTAGTTGACTGGCTCGTAAGAATTTAGTTAGATTATTCTTTCGCTCTAAACTCATTTAGAATAGAATAATTTGAGATAGAAAACATAATAATGGTAATCATTGATTTATCAATTCACAATTACAGAGCCATCCATTATAGTTGCATTTCCAGCAGTGGTCGGTTACGGTAACCGTTCAAGGAAAAATTAGGATTTCGAATTCTGATTTTAAAAGACAAGCAGGCTCTCTTTACCGAACTTGATCTTCCTATTTCGATAACAGTACTAGATTCGTTTCGTCTGACACAGGGCTATAAGTATGAGGGTCCCAGCGATGTTTCAATTTCCGACTCTCATAAGTTTGTGAGTAACAAAGTGAGGTGTCGTAAAAAAATCATTACAACGGAGAGAGAGAGAGGGCGTAAAAAACAAACTTCCTAATAAATGGCAATTAAAATTTTAACATTAGCGGAAACAGAAAATTAAGTTGTTCTGAGATTCTCTAAGAGGATGTATTTTTTATGACATTTTTATTGTTAATTTTAATATTTCTTTAAACGCTACATTAAAAAAAATAACTAACTGATGATGTCAAAGCAACAAAAAAGATGAAAAAAGTCCGTTAGAGAATTTAAAAATAGAATTTTTTCATCGGTCGTTTTATTTGAATTTATTCAACTGCCTGCGTGATCAAAAAGATCCTAACCTGAAAACGTCAGCAGTGTTTCATTCTGAAAATTAAATAATATCTATTCTGTCTTCTTGATACAGACTGATAAAAGAGTTCATTTCGACCATTTTTTTAAAAGATTAGTGCCATTGATAAGATAAAATTAAAACTGAAGTGATTAAATTTTTATTTATTTAAATTATTTTTATTTTAACAAATTCAAGTTCCATATTATAATTTGCTGAAACAAGTGGTCATCACTTTCTTTCTTCTCTTTAATTTTGGAAATTGAAAATTTTTGGTTTACACATAAAGCAAAAAAAATCTTTAGAAATTTGGAAACGACACTTGACTCAGGAATAAAAGAATAAGTGCTATCAAATTTTGTGTGGGTGTATGTCTGCAAGGAGTGGAATCAGCCCCAGCGTCATGGCACATCTGGGGAGTAAAAGAATACTGTAGGGGAGGGGAGTCTGCAAGAAGAAAAATTGGCCATAGCACATTTCCTCTATCAACCACTACTTGACTAGCAGCAACAAAAGTAGAAGCTGCTTTCCACCCACAGAGATATCGTGTGTAGCTGGTTAGTACATTTTTGAATTTGAAGCCTTACTTCCTGCATACCCCTTTCTCATAAAACTACTTTTGCCTCCCCCAATAGTCCCAAGATTACAAACGAACTGAGAAGGAGCACGACGATGTCTTTCAAAAAACGGGACTATGCAGGGCAGACATGTGATCTTCTAAAACGTTGTATCTATGAAAGACATGTGGATCTAAAAAAGACAACCAGCCAGCCACACATTCTAACCTTGAAGAAGACGACGACGATGAAGGGAAAAAGAAGAAGGAAATACAGCGGTCGACCTCTTAGAATTACTCGTTCTCACACGCACATACTAACAAACAAGACACAGTTAAAAAATAAAATAAAATAAAAAGGCGTCTGTCTCTTAGAGAATGTGTTTTCCATTTAGAGACCATTACATCAAGACAGAAGTGACAAAACCTTGCAGGGGGGCCTATGTTTACTGCAACTGACTAATAATATCTTTTTCTTTCTACCCCCATAAACATATGCCACACTATTCTGGTTTTCTTTTTGTTTTTGGTAGATATTATTACTTAACTTTGCTTATGCGTTCGCTGTTAAAAAACTAAAATCCATTTAGTGTCAAAAGTAAACATCCTCTTATTCACAGAATGACCCTTTGCTTTTGACAAAAATCAATCGAAAAAATCTTTACAAAACCTTCTCTACAAACTCTTTCTAAAAATATTTTTTTCTTCCCATTTTGATAAATCTTCCTCAGCGGCACTTCCAAACATGTCATTATGGCTATATTTTCTCATCAAATTATATATCCAGACGTGAAAAGTTCTTTTCCTTTTTATGATTCGAAAAAATAAGTCTTGGGGGAAATTCATTTTTTCAATGCAAGGCTCCAGATATTTAAAAAGATTTTCTTCCATTCGAAACTAGAACAATTCAAGTTAAGAATGTATTGTAAAGTGAACAATATATTGTGTTCTCCAGTTCGATGCTCTGACAAGTGAGCTGCCAACTGCAATTAAAATTCTTTGCACTTCATCCTGACAAGTAGATGAGGAAAATGCACCTGTGTAGATGCATTTCTAGCTATTGCGCAGGTAAGCAGCTAGAAAATGAACATCAAAATACATCAAATCTAAATATAAACTTTGGGTGAACATTCCTTCCATGTAAATATACATTAAAAATGGAAGCATATGGTTACTGTTGTTACTACTAATCGTTAGAACATTTCTCCTGGCAGTAATGGTTAACGAGGCTAGTCTGGTTGATCATTATTAGTGAGTATTAAGTTTGAACTTTAATAAGTTCGAACATATATGTGACTTTGTGTCAAAACAAAACCAAGCTTATTAAATAACAATTGAAAAAAATCAAACTTAAACTGTACTTAAATTTCCACTTTAAAAACGTGACAACTGAAATGACAAAATTCTCTCAGATCTCAGAATGAAATTTCGAAGAATCCGTTTTCTTCTTCCCCTATGTACGTTATTGATATGCAGGAATAAAATGATTCTATTAAAACGAGTCAGTTATTTTTAGACTAAGTAAAAAATTCCTACATTTCAAGAGATTTCAGTTTCTTGCTTGCAAAGAATAGAAAACAGAAATACATATGATTAGAATCAATGAAGAAAAATATCAATATCCCAATCTTCGAAATGGATTATTAATTACAATCCTTAATAAAAGCAAGAGAGAAAACTAGCAAGAAAAAAAAAAAGAGTTGAAAAATCAATTAAATGAAGGAAAGTGGTGATAAGACGCGGATTTAAAAACAGAAATCTTTCTACTTGAAATATCCAGTTTTTATGGTGTTCTAATTTATTGAAAAGTGGCTTAGCGGTTAACAGTACGGCGAATGGAACCAGCGAACAGAGTTCGATTTTTCGGGTGAAACAGTTCGTGATCACTTGTAATGAATGAATGAATGGGTCGCGAATCAGATTAGCTAAGTTTAGGATACTCAGATACAATCAATCTCACTTCACTTGACCTTTCGGCCATGTGCCAAAATTGTATTTTTATGCAATAAATATACACTTTCACACTAATACCCTTGGGGAAGCATTAATCAGTTTTCTTTCTTCAACAGAAGAGAGCAGAGCAAATTGGGATCTCTAGCCTTGTTTAGCTATCAGTATAGAAGCGGGTAAAACTGTGAATTCAAAACCGCTGCATAGTAGCTATAACTCATGAGAAAGGCTTTATGAGTATAAACCCTATAAATACAAAGTCGAAGTTGGAATCAGTTCGATATTGTCTTCGTTTAGCGACGAAAATCGTATCAAATTATATCAGCACATTGTCTTCTCTTGGATAACATCAGCGACTTAGAGTGTGGAGAATGCCTGTCTTCCATATAACCATACCCTGGTTTGTATCCTATGGAGCAAGACATTCCAGGAGCAAATCTATGGCTTTGCGAAATTGGCTGATGCCTCAGAACTTAAATTCACTTCATTGCTTAAAACTGTGATGACGATTTGTTACAAATTAAAATAATATTACTCAGTATGCTATTAATATAATATTGTTAATATACAAAGAATATTTGTCTATATTTCTGAGATGAGGTATTATGATTATTTACATCATTCGGACAGTTATCCTCATCTTTATTGCTATATTCACCTGAAGAAGACCGGAGCCTACAACGGCCGAAACGTGAATGTGGCAATGAACATGACGATAACAGTCCGAATAATGTAAATAACAAAGCATATTGTATAATAAAAAATACGCATATAAAATGATCTTTGTATCTCTATACGAAAGGGCGCTGAAAAGTGTCCAGGCCAATCAAGTAGAATGAGTTCGACTTATGAAACCTACATGGTAAATTCTACATATTCATCCACTAGCAGTATAACCCGTCTTCGACCGGGTCTTTCATTACTGGGAATTTTTACCGTTCAATTAGAGCAGTTTAAGTTTAAAGACAGCCGACCCGAAAATCAATATTAGTAACAAAAACTGTGCAACTGAGGCACATTCCCAAATTTGAATGGGAGTGGCCCTGAAAAGGGCCGTTTTTGCGTTCTCGATCTTGTTTCAGCCTCACGC